AATTATTTTGATGATATGAAACCGTGCTTTACAATTTGTTTATGCTTCTAACACAATAAAGTGCTATAAATTAAGACACTTGGCGGGTTTTCTCATCTTTATTTAGTTCAACTAAATAAAGATGAGAAAACCCGCTAAGTGTCTTAATTTATAGCACTTTATTGTGTTAGAAGCATAAATAATTTTGTTGTTGATATTTTGACATTAATTCAGATTTTGTAATTTTGAAATTATGATTACTTTTATTTTTTGTTTTAATGTAAAGATTCTGTAAATTATATTATAAATTTTTGTAAATATTCCTACATTCCTTGTGAAACACTTACTTGAACATAAAACATTTAAATTTGAGTTACAGTGTGTTTGGTTTTTACAGTACTTAAAAAGCTAATTTACAAATATATTTGAAAATCTGGATGGGTCTGGTTTCAATTAGTGCAGAATTTTGATTCCTTTTTAATAAAACAGTATTTTAGTATAATTTTTACTTTTTTACTATGTCTTTTGTATATTTGTATCTTCTGTATTAGTATCCAATTTTTATAATTCAATTTTTAAAAGGAATGTTATATTTGTTATTTAAAGGTTTTTGCCCATGGCATTACCTTTGTAAATTTATTGATAAAGAATTTTAGCAACATAATTTAAGCATATAATTTGATAATAAAATTAATAATAACCTTATGATTCATAATTTTGCCATATGTTTCTACCAAAGATTCCGCATAAAAAGGAGTTTCTCCATACAACATTTCATACATACAAACACCAAGAGACCACCAATCACATTCAGGTCCATATTTCCCTTGACCATCTTCCATAGCCTACATAACGAAAACACATACATATTTTTTAATAATAATAATGTTTTTCCAAATTATTTACACATTATTATTAGTTACTAATTTACTTACTCTTAAAATTTCCGGTGATATGTAATCTGGTGTACCAACAGCAACATTAGACTGAACCTTAAGAAATTAGTTAATTATTATTTTCATAACAAGCATTTAATATATATTAAGTAAAAAAAATTATCCATCCATTTCAATAAAACTTTAAAAATAAATAAATAACTGTAATAAATAATAATTATAACTGAAATTGTTCTATGTAGATAATCTATGTATAAAAAATTATATCTTGTAAAAGATTTTAGAAATAAATATTTTTTTTAT